TTCAAGTGGTTCGAAATGGCCATTTTCTTGACGTATAGCTAATCCTATCAATGCAGGACATTGTGCTTTTGCAGTTATAGATGTCAATCCATAATCTGACAGGTACTTAGAATCAGACATAACAACATTATCTTTGTTAAATAGTTGTTGATTTGCTGGTGGTACTTTCAAAATACCTATGACATAATTATATTTCTATTGCTTTTGTTTATATTCAACATTAATATTCGACAATTTAAATAAATAAGAAAGTAGACTTATGAATATATGTATATATATATTTTTTTCTTCAATATATCTGCATGCACCTAAAAATATATTATATATTTGTACCTTCAATAATTTTTTTAAGTTCATGAACTGTTGTATTATCGTTTGCATCCGTAAAAATCGTGGTATTTTTTCGCCTGATCATCAAAAATACGTCCTGTAAAATGTTCAACATTCACATTTTTAGGTTATATCATTCCTGAATGAAACAACAAAATATATATATATACGTAAATATTAAATTAAATGCTAACATCTTACCATCACGGATTTAATTTTGTAACTAAATGTATTAAAGAGAAATAATATTTTACACTGTTTCTGAGGTTCAATGATATTATGTTTACTTGAAGACCTTCAGATTATAAATGAAAGGTTAAAATAAGACTGTACACACATATACACTGTAACACATATACACTGTCTTGTATACGTCATATATGAGACAGATTATATGATTGGTTATCCTATTTAAAAGCAAATCGCGTTTGGCATTGTCGAGTTTATCTTGCCAATCACAATATTGCTTTATAGATATTAACAAATTTACATTATTTTCAATAACAATATAATAATCTCAAATCATTAACAATAATATTCTGTTAAATGAAATAACATGATTAGAGAATAACAAGAAATACGAATCTATTCAGACTGCTTTAATAATACATTTAAATTGTACGTTTTAATTGGACAACTTTTTAGTGAACGATACTGATCAACCAATCATCGTTGATCTACATCAGTTGTTGTACACCATTTGGAAATAACCATAATTTATTCGGTATATAATAGTTTAGGATTTGAAACAGAGTTTGGAATGTGCTAGAACTTGTCTAATATTAAAAGTGATTCTATTTTATCAGAAAGAAATTAATTTAAGAGCGCAATAAAAATATTAAGTGTAATTAATTATATACAGAAAAATGTCAGAAGGGAAAATATTATTGCATTGTTACAATCGAGGCTGTGGAAAACAGTTTGATCCAAATGATAACAAAGAAGGTAGACTTTTATATGATGATCTAACACGTATTATAAAAAATATTAATTTTTTACAAATGATTGTAGAAAAAATGATACAATATTTACGAAAATTATAAATTTTAACATTGTTATAGGTGATTGTGTCCATCATCCTGGTCAACCAGTTTTTCATGATGCTTACAAAGGATGGTCTTGTTGTAATAAAAAGTGTACAGACTTCACAGAATTTTTAAATATTAAAGGTTGCACAAAATCATACCATACGAATGAAAAGCCTGTAGAACCAGAAAAACCTATCATTGAAAAATCTAAAGCAAATGAAGTTATTCAAGTAGGTGCAAAACTTAATAGCAATGAGCCAACATTAAAACGACCATCTTTTCATTCTCCTCAAACTACATTAAAACCAAACGTGTCATCTGCATTATTGGAACAAATTAAAGACTTGACAGAATCGATAGAAGAAAATGTAAATGAACATAAAATTGCCATTGGTCAAAGTTGCAAAAATAATTCTTGCAAAGCTACGTATGAAGGACCTTCATCTGACGAAAAGGAGTGTTCTTACCATCCTGGAGTACCTATATTTCACGAAGGGATGAAATATTGGTCTTGCTGTCAAAAGAAGACTCTAGATTTTTCAATATTTTTAGAACAACCAGGATGTACACAGGGAAAACATATTTGGGTATCAAAGGTAATTTGTTAAGATTTTATTAATTTAAACAAGTATTATTACTTATCAATTTTTTTATATTTTCATATTTTCAGAATACCCATAAAAAAGTTCAATGCAGAATGGATTGGCATCAAACCCCGACGTTTATAGTTGTTTCAGTTTTTGCCAAGAAATATCAACCTAGTCAGTCAAGCGTGAAATTGAATCCTATACATTTAAGTGTGGATTTATTCTTTGTAGAAGAAAATTCAAGATATAATCTTGACGTAGAATTAAAAGGAGTAAGTATATCATTAATTGCAATCATTATTGATAAATAAATATTAATAATCACATTATTTGTTATATTTATTGTTTCCAGATAATTGACGTTGCTCAAAGTAGTGTTACTATGCTGCCTACCAAAGTAGAAATTAAATTAAAAAAAGCAGAACCTGGTTCTTGGTCTCGCTTAGATATTCCTAGAGTACCTGGTAGTCAAGAAAATGAGAGCATTCAAAATGAGGAACAAATCAGTTCCCAAATTGATGCAGTTGATCTAAGTGATTTATAATTAAATGGATTCTTGTTTAATTTTAAGATTCTAAAGAATTATTGAAAATAATCCTATTTTATTACTAAACGTATCTTCAGAAATATACGTTACTGTACAGGCAGATAAAACATATTTAATATATTGAAAAAATATTTGACATGTTTTCAATAATAAGAATTAAGAAACATTTACAAATTCGTGGCTTCAGTACTTCATGTTCTTTTTATTTTTAACGAAATGATTTATTTTTCACGTTCTGATACATGCAATAAAAAAAAAAAACAAAACAAAACAAAAGAAAAAGAAAACACTCTCTCTTTAACTTTCGTTTTTTATTCCTATATTCCTCGAAATATAATATTCCTCGAAATATATACAACGCACGCTTAAAACAAAGATGACGAAAGTAAAATTGTAAAAATAGAACGATTCAAGAACAGAAAATTCAAAACAAAATAAAAATTCCAATCAATAACAAAACTTAAGGATATATATATATATATATATATATATATATATATATATACTTTTACATATATAATATATATATTATCTATCTATATATAAAATATATTAAAATATATATAATTAACTTTGGTACAAGGCTTACCGCTTTTTTATACCCATTGTTTACAATCTATATGTAACAACCAATAGAGTAGAGAATAGAATAGAACATTACATACATATATATATATATATATATATATATATATATATATACATATATATATATATGTATATATATATGTCATAAACTATGGAAATGATTCGGATGAATCGTACATTGTATGACGTCAGTGGTGTCCAACAATCTGCAAGAAAGCCGCGATCCATGAGAGAGCGCGTGCGCTTTTAAAAGCTTCTGACACACGCGCACACACACACACACAACTCAAAATACATACACATACATCCATACAAACAGAGAAATCTCACAAAGAATTTATATATATATATGTATATGTAATTTACGGGGGTGTCGAAGTTCTCTTCCAGTTTCACAGTAGGAATTCTGTGAAAGCTTCGCCACCCCCTTTTAACGACGTTGCTGGAGTTCCGTTGCAGCCAGACGCAATGCGAACGTGGCAGAAGGTTTCCTCGAGGGAGTTACGTCGTCGACGAACCTGGAAAAGTGTTACATAGCGAATTCATTAACGAACACTCGACAACTATGTCGTGGTACTCGGTGAACGTATCGTGATAGTAACTAACATCGGTGAGAGACGATTTTTTCGTAAAAGTTACGTTATTAAGAAGAAAAAAAAAAAAAGGAAAAAGAAAAAAAAGGGAAATAAATAAAGAAAAAAAGAAAAACCAAAGAAGAGAAGAAAAGAAGGAATTCCTTTTCATACGATTATTCTGTATAATAAGGAAATTGTGGATTGTTTACGAACAAGTCATCCGTATGTTTCCATATGATCGATCACCGATCATCTCGTGAATTGGGTCGGCCCTTAAACTGGAAGAAATCTAAATGCGTGCGAGGCTCGAAAGTGATTAAAAAAAATTTTTTCATCGTACCCGTAGGTGTATCGTTCGACTGCGTACGAGGAAATTTTATATGCCGTGGGCAACGTCGACGTATATGATGAAATTACAGTTGCTCGTAATCGAAACGGATTACTGCTGGAGGAAAGCTTTGCTCAGGTGAGAGAAACTATTTCGATCGTTTTTATCGATAATTATTATATTACTATTTTACAATTAAATTTGATTTCTATTAAAATTACTACAATCTATCAAAAATTATTACTACATAATCGTTATACGATTTTGTGACAAGGATGCATGATGCATATGGTATAGATGTTTTTTCTTTCTTTCCTTTTTGTTTTCCTTTTCCTTTTTTTTTTTTTTTTCCTTTTGCATTCCTATGAGTCATCCATAATTAGCGATGATATTCGTATTATTAAACGAATTATTTTTAATCATTTTGTTTCAAATTATCTCCCGAAAAAAGTATATATATATATATATATAATATAATAATAATTATTGTAAGAAATCTCTCATGTTATTTTCTAAAAAGCTGAATGTTTTTCTATGACATTTAAATGTCCCGCGCTCTAAGAATGTTAATAAAACGATTTTAACGACGGTCGGTAAAAAAATGTGAATTCTTTTCTGAAGATTCTAAAATAAAAAAAAAATTCTCATTCGAGTTAAAATATATATAAATCGTTTAGTTTCTTCTATTCTCAATCTCTTATTTATATATTTGTTCTACTTTATCTTTGCCTTTTCTATCGAGCATTTATCTTTTTTTTTCTCTCTTGCTCTCGTTTCCCCTTCTCTCTCTCTCTCGCCCTCTGTGCTCACTCACTCATTCGTATCAATAGCAATAGATTATGGAGGGAGTTTAAAGTCTATTATCATGCAAAATTGTAGTGGTATCAGTGAAAAGAACGTAGATTGGTGTCGTATCGTTCAAAGGAGAGTTACGACCAATCGAATGTTCATTCTCTGGCGAACGTTGCGATCTAACCTAATCCCGGATTTGAGCTTGGTCAGTCGACGCCATCTTTATATTTATATTTACAGTCAGTTCGCTCGAAGAGGAGACAGTGCACGTCGTACAAGTCATGAGTGTGGATAGTGCGCGTGACGTGGTGGTTGTTGCGAATAAAAACGTTCAACAAAACCGGTCGTCGAAATGACAGGGCCGATCGTGTTATGAGTTTGCGCCATAGATCTAGTTTTGCAGGAATCTTCGAAGATCGCGATCGACGGAAGAGTCGTATATCGTCTCAGTGTCCATGTAAAATAATTCTTTTGAACACCTCCTCCCCTCCTTCGTGTATATAGTTGGTTAGTGTTGTTTGGTAATGTGCTTGTTCGTACATTTCTTTACCGTGTCATCATCGTGTGTATTTTACAGAGTCTATTATTCTTTTTTTTTTTGGTTATGTTTTTTCTCTCATCGTTCTATCATACTTACGATTTACACGCATTTTATTAGCACGTATCGAATAATGAGAACTATAATGTTGTAATGTGCAGATATATGTATGCATAAAATGCACAAGTTAAGGTTACCTGTCAAGGTAGAATTACCCAGTGCTTTAACAAGGTATGGCGAGGTCTTATTCTTAGTTATTTATATTGCTTTCTCTACATCACTTTCTTTATCTTGTTCATTATATTGTTTTTTTTTTTTTTTTTTTAGTTTCAATGTTATGTTTAATATTTCTTTGCTTTGTAGATTGCATATTGGAAATGAATGATGTATGGTTTTAATGTAAATATATACGATTGCAAGTAGATGGTACAGGATTCGTATTAACTCGTGTTATATATATATATATAATATATAATATATTGTGTAGTTTATGAATTACATATTGGATCATTTTGTTAAGATCTCAATGACGATTTGCAAAGCAGTATTATTTACTTTGGATGTTTGCATAGTTTATAATATAAGAATGGATTTCAAGATTTATCACAGTATAAATAGTATTGAAAATTGATATATTTAGTATATCGACATAGATTTATTAATACCTTAGACAAGTATATCTGATAACATGCTTTTTAATAAAAGCATTGTCCATTGCGTTATTCTCTTAACACACACTATCTCCTTATATTATGTTTGATATATCATTAAAAATTTTTTACATAATCATTTAATATTTGAAAAAGATATATAAGAACTTTAATACCTTTAATAAGTATATTATTATATATTTCTTTAAATATTCTTTCTGTTAATGTTTCAATACCATATGGAACATACAGCACAAGACGATTCATCAAAACTTATTATTTATGGTAAGAGAAATGCCATGTAAAATGTCTTTGCAAACAGTATGTAATAATTCTTTAAGAATACTAGGTGTTTCTTCGCGTTAATCGAGACAGACACGTAAAGAAATATCTGGTTGTTGATTCTCATGGAAATCAACTGACCTTGGCAGTCATCAAATCTAATGCTAGCCATTTGAACGTGCACACATCCTCTCTCTCTCTCTCTCTCTCTCTCTCTACACACAACACATATATATATATATATATATATATATATATATATATATGTATATATCATAGTTATAACCTCTACTACCTATTTTGATCTCTCTTTTTCTCGAAGAGCATGTACGCGAAATATACATTAGGTATGATAATAAAATGTCGACTGTTTTAGAGTCGACAAAGTTAGTCATGTACTAATACCGTGACATTCTCTTTCTCTTTTTCTCTCTCTCTCTTTCTCTTTCCCTCGATCCTGTTACGTTGTGAGCTAATTATCAGTAACGGGAAAGAGAAGTCACGTGATCGGTTCGTTTTAACTACGTTAGTTTTCCTAAGAAAGAATCGATCGATCGGGCTTTTCTTCTATTTTTTTCATATTCATCATCATATTCGTCTTATTCTTAAAGCGTTTACTAATAAGGTAAAAACAAGATCAACGCGTTTAACCACCTGTACGACTGTACATTCCCTCTCTCTCTTTCTCTCTCTCTCCCTCTCTCTTCTCTTCCTTTCTCTCTCTCTCTCTCTCTTTCCCCTCCTCTTTCTCTTTCTTTTTCTGGTTAGTGCGCGCGCACTTCCGACAGCAGAGAGTACACGTGAACTCGATAGACCAACATAGAGCAAGCTATGATTCGTATGTATGTGCGTCGCCTCGTAGCGTAGTTCTATCAAACACAGGTATATATGTATAATATTACATGTATATGTAATATATCTATATACATTTATTTAGGTGTGAGTGACTGTTTACGGATTAATACGCAACGGCGCTCCCACCTTCAATATATGTCTATACACCCTTTGAAATCTACCGCCCTTTAGAGAGAGAGAGAGAAAGAGAGAGAGAGAACGAAAGACAGAGATAGAATGATTTCTAATGGTGTAGAGTTATGCCCGTGTGACGTAGAGAGAAAGAAAGAGAAGATGGAAATCTCTCTTTCTCACTCTCTCACTTTTTATCTGTCTCCCTCTAATTTAACTGTAATTTCATGGATACTAACTCTTATTTTAACATTCAATCATCTTGTCATTCTTGATACTATATCGTATACGATAATAAATGAATTTGTTACGTATCTCAAAGATGTCCTCTTATTTTTCTACTTCGATTGCTGCTTGTACGAGGTGAAACGTTCTCTTTGATCGAGACAATCTTGTCGGACTAACTAAAGAAACATGCGTGTATATATATACATATATATATATATATATATATATATATATATATATATATCTAATATGTAGCTTACGATTAGGAAATATTTCCTTTAATGTATTTAGTTCATACGCGGGAGCGGGTTACAACGACGTATGAGACGCCATTTTAAATGCATTAACTTTTAATATATATACTTTACTTACACGCGTAGTGTGTATCCATGTGACCTTGCATATATATAACTCTCGGGCTTTTTAACTTTCACTTATTGTTAATCTCGATTATGATCAAAATTGTTTGGTAAGTTTGATATCAGCATTTAAAGAAATAAATCCCGCATATCTCGCGTTTTATATTCTACCATTGTATTCTCTTTTATTGTTTGTCCTTTTTATTACGTTTCGTTATTTTCTTGTTATCGGATAGGATCGAAGTTTCGAAGATTTCTACGATTGTAATTTTACAATTTAAAGAGGGGTATAGGGGGAGAAAGAAAAAAGTAAAAAGAAAAAAGAAAATAAAAAAAAAAAAAAGGAAAAAAAAAGAAAGGAATAGAAGAGAAATTTGTTTTGAAAAGAATCTCGAAGAAAGATAATTTAAGATCTTTAATGTCAGCTAGAAACTTTTGGATCACCCTGTATGTTTCGTGGTTTTATTTGGTTGTTAAGAGGCTTCGATATATGTACATATATAATACGAGTATATGGTGTCACATCCGTTGTATGTCGAATTGATAGAGTTCGTAATATAAAATCCAATGAATATATTTCAATAATAAATCTTGAATATTCTTATTACTGACGACATCTGTAAAATTAAGAAATTAATTTAAAAAATATATATTCTTTTTTTAAAATATATATATATATATATATATATGCATGTGAATTTTTTATAAAAAATCGTAATTATGTTTGAAGAATAATTCAAGGCGAGAAATTAAAAAATAATAATTAGAAATATTAATTGTGATCGTATCGTAAAAAAATAATACGTTTAGCATGCTTTTATGATTTATAATTATTCTAATGACGGATTACATCGTGAAGTTTTTTCTTTTATTCATTCGATACATGATTCATCTTATCCAATTATTATCTTTTAACATTTATATATATATATATATATATTGTTCTTTTTTCTTTTTTTCTAATATGGGACGATAACGATATAAATTAATTCTTTCTATCTACTCGACATCATATATACTCGACATACATAAATAAACACATTTATCCGTCCATCCGTACATGCATAGATACATATATAGATACATAAACACATACATACATACATACCACAGTACGTGGTACGTGGGGTTTTAAAGTTATTACTAGCAAGGGGCGCCGCATGGATTACGTAACCGTTGCGATCATTGTAAATTTATGGTTGAAGTAAAAATTTATGATCCGTTTGCGTCTTTGCAAGTCATCGTAATACGAATTCTTTTGGATCAATTCAATGAATCATTCTTATAAATCGAATCTTCTCGTTTCTTCTCCTCTCTCTCTCTCTCTCTCTCTCTCTCTCTCTCTCTCTTTCTCTTTCTCTCTCTCCTCTCTCCTTTCTTTCTTTCTCTCTCTCTCAACACTCAATACAAATTTCTTTTTACTTTCTGAACGAGAACACAAAGGAATAAAATCGATTCAGCTAAACTTTCCTGACGTATTTCATACTTATACTTTCCTTTTTTCTCTCTATTTCTCTCTCTCTTTCTCTTTCCTTTTTTCTTTCTCACACTCACTTACTCACTTGCTTATTCGCCTCCCGTCTCTTACTAGGCGCCATTTGCGTCAAGCGACGTCGTTTCGTAGTTTTCCTCGAAAATAGAAACGTGCGTGACTAGCTTGTACTTCGCACTCGTTCGATTTCTATGTTTGAGAAAAATTGGATTGATAATAAACTTCCACGTTTATCTCTTTTTTATTCTTCGGGAATTCATGTATATATATATATATATATATATATATATATATATATATATATATGTATGTATGTACAACACATATCTCTTAAATATTTGTCTTCTTCTTTTTTTTTCTTCTTGTCAACAATCTAAGGAATTATATTCTAAAGCATGAATGCTCTTTCGTGATATCCATTAATGTCATACAATTAAAAAGGTTCATCGTTGAATCACGCTTAGCAAATTTACACGACACGAGATTACTTTAATGGTTGTTTATTTGTATGCTTCGAATGATACGTTAGAACCTCTAGAATTATTTAAATCGTATTGTTTTGCATAGGAGCGTGATATTATTTAAGAATTTTCATTTATTTCTCTTTCTTTATCCATCGTCGTCCTATTTTATCAATGAAGAAAGAAAAAGAAGAAAAAAAAAATAATATTAAATAATTTTTACGATAAAAAATGAACTCCTAATCTTATTTAATTTTTTATATATTAAAGTATAAATATGATAAAATTATACAATTTATATCAAATTTATCTTATTTTTGGATTAACTCCTTATGACGTTTATTATTATAATTTCTAAATGTATACGTATTTAATGATCTAACATTCATCTCATATATTCTAATATGTAATTTTACAAGGAGGTATATTTTTTGGCTCATACTGATATATGACATTTTACAAAGGTATTTTTAACGCTTTATTAGTTGAAACATCCAATAAATATACATATATATATATATATATATATATATATATATATATATATATATATAAGAACTTACCAGAAGATAAGATCTTTCAGTTAAATTAGGAAATGATGATGAAGATGACAAATAATAAATTTTGGGATCATTGCCAAATTATTTTCCACTTAAACGTCGTTCTCTTCACTTCAATCAACAAGTTCTTCTTATTGATTACATATGCATTATATATACGTATATATATTCATATTTAGTAATTACTTCACACACGTACATAGACACACACACACACACATACACGCGCGCGC